CCACTCGAACTTACACATAGAGATTTTTGGGCAAAATTTAAAGTTCAATATTTTCAACACATGATTTTCCTATTTAATTATTACAGGATTTTTCCGGTTATTTTGTACAGCCTATTGTAGCACCTCTGTAAATGTTTAGATGATAAACTAAATATATACATCTTCCACATACTCGAATAATTGTTTTTATTATTTATACGCACGCACTTGTACATTATCTCTAATGAAGGCCATCTTGTTTGACTTAATCTTGATAATTTGTGGGGTTTTGTGTCAATAAATTCTTAAAATTCTTTATAAACGGTAAGCCTTTTTGGACTTTTCGATATGTAGTTGTATATGTCTTGGACAAACTCCTCTACTGTAGAAGGTATTTTGTTTGTCGCTTCTGATGCACATAGATGTAAAGAGTGATTTATACAACCAACAACAAAAATATTTGAATTAACTTTTTCCTTAAGTTTTGCTTGTACGCCCCGCCACCTATCTGCCCCATCATAACAGAAGCGTTATCTGCACCGAAACCAATAACATAGTAATTAATTTCAGATTTGTCCAGTAAATCTAAAATGGTTTTAGTGAGACCATCTGCAGAGTAATTCTCTACCTCTACCAGTGACAATAACTGGTCTTTAATGGAACTTTGGTTCATATCTCCAAAACGGCACAAAATTGCCAAACATTTTTTTTTGTAGAGATGTCTGTTGTTTCATTTACTATTTAGTTTTCAGCCTCAATCTTTAACATTTTAATTATTTGGGTAACCCTTGTTTTCCCACAATTTATATTTTTCACCACTTGAGAATCTGGAATACTAAATACTAGAAGTTTAGGAACATGATCCATTAGCAATATTGGACAATTATGTTCTGCGATGAGGCCCATACTCAATTTGTACTCTTGTACTCGGCTGAAGATTCTTGAAGCAATTTTTCAATGTTTCTTGTATTTGTAACCTTTTTGGCATTTTTTTATGAAACTAATTCTTTTTATGCCTTGTTAAATAGGCTGCCTCACCCTCAACTCTGTGATTACATAAAGAGCAAATTTTCTTTCTATTACAAAGAAGTTTTACCCATATGGAAACTTTGTCTAAATGTATGATCATATTTCGTTTTCTCTACAAAGCAATTAAATGACTAGAGGAAGCGTTGGTCTTATTATTATTTAAAATAAATTATGGCATTTGTAGGCGTCATGCTATGCCATTGGAAAACCAGGATTTATTTGCAGAACAAAAATATTTTATAGTATAAAAATTGCCTGCTGTGGAGATCTATCCCTACATTTCCGACTGGATGACGTTACCGCAAATTCATATTCTGATGAATCACTACTTTGTTCTAAAGTAATTGTGTCGGAATTTATTTTTTATCAGATAGTCTAGTCAAGATAAACCTGATGAAGTAGAAGGCTAAGAAAAACTAAGCCTCGGATCTGCCTCTTTTGCTTTTCTTATTACAAACCTGTTAATTACAATAGTTTTAATTATGTATTAATACAACACCTATAATATATAAAATTTACTGTAGACCTAACAAGCCCAACAAATATTAATACGACCTATCCATTTTTTACAGTAAAATACTTATTTTTCTTTTGCTAATGATTTAAAAACATTTTGAAATTTATCGATATTTATGGTAAATGGTGAGTGCATCGATTTTTATTTTAAAAAATTCGTGCCGTCAGATCAATGTTTAAAATTGTACAAAATGTACCAGAAATATTAAAAATGAACTTTCTTACAAACGGACCCAAAATGTACCAGATCTGTACAATTGTACCAGCTCTGGCAACGCTGCTGGGTATAGAGAGGCGACTGTTCAGTCATCCTTTACCGCGTTATAACAATATGTATGCGTTGCAGCATAGTAAACAATGCCAATACGCGTACCGGCAGCATATTTACACATCCTCCTATATGACGGCACCGGAGAGCTGAAACCTATTCGCCTTTGTAGCCCACAAGTACGCTACAAAAGCTCATTGATTTAGACACCCATACCAAATTTATGTTATGTGAGACTTTACTTTTCAATTTTAGCTGTGACCAGGCCGTTGGCGTCTATGCCGGTAGGCGTAGCCAGGTATGGGTTAAAATTTTTTGGTGGCGGCAAAGCCGCCACCCTACGAGTCGTTTTCTTCTTGTATATTTTCTTTTTTTTTAATCCCAAAACACTTCAAATGCGTCATTTGAATGACATCATGTCCATTAACGGCATTTTAGTACAGACCGTTTAACGGCAGTTTATGTACAGCCATTATTTCATAGAATGCAGATAAGCTTGCTTACTGATTCCAGCAATAAGAGGGGCCTCATGCATTGGTGCCTAAATCAATGAGCTTTTGTAGCGTACTTGTAGGTTACAAAGGCGAACAGATTTCAGCACTCCGGTGCCGTCATATAGGAGGATGTGTGAATATGCGTACCATAGATAAACTAATAAAGAAGATGGTCGGATTCTGTGTTAATATTTGGAAACGTAGTGCTGCGAATTAGTATGGAACGGATCTTTTTTGAACTACACTGGCTGATTGATTTGTCAGTAAGAGGCATAAAAAAAGAAGAGTGTAAACGTAACCGCGGTTCATTCAAATATCCTTTATTTATTTATATTTTTTGGGGTTCATTACTTTAAAAAGAAAAACTAATATTTATATTAAAATATTGTATTTAACATATATATTAGTTTTTTTTAGTTATAAAACCCCAAAAAATGTATACAAAAATGTAGACAAAAAATATTTACACTGAAATAAAATATAAGACAAATATATTTAAATTATTTATTATACAGTAATACATACATAATGTGATAATAAAGAACAATTGTAAGTGAAATGAATACTAGTTTCCCCACATTCTTGTAAAAATGGACCATACTTTGATGGGCGTCAGGTGTTTCCTATAAAAACAAAACAAAAAGTGTACATATATGTTATTGAACAATTTCTCTTATTAAAATGTTAACCATTTTTATAAAACTAAGTTATTTTTAATTATTTGACGAAGATTGAGAACGACGCAGTACGTGGAGTGTTCAATCATCTGAGTGCGATAAGGACAATCCACTCTAGTTGTACAGTATATTTTTTCTACGACCCTCTAACGAAAATTTACAATTTTTTAAAATTATTTTGGGTAACTACGATAAAATTTCCAATTTAAAAATAATTTATGACTTACTAATTTATTTTCATAATTAATTTCAATAACTAAAAAATATACTGACAATTAATTTGACAAAATTGTGACATTTAAAATTTAAAAAATTAATAATAGCCCAGTGAACAAATAATGAACTGTGACTGGTGGATTTCATATCCATGCAGTGTTCTTACTAGGTAGAATGGATATATGACTTGAACCCAATGGCTTACTTTTTCATTTTGTAGTCTGTGAGTAAAATAGCTATATCCATGTAGGTGTGGAAAAAAACTATTTCTGTTTATTCCTCATAATGCAATAGTCCATTTGAATTGTTTTAACTTGTCCATATTCTTTCAGAGCTGTATAGATAATATCATACACGTCAGAAAGAAATATTACAACATTTTCAGTAACATATGTTAACCTTTATCATCATTTTCTTTAAACATGGTAAACATATGTCGTGCCTCTAATGCATCTGCAACAGTTTTTCTCCGTTTGGAGGTTTGTTCAAATTGTACATCACTAATATTTAGTTTACGTTTGCAACTAATTTCTTGATTTTCGTTGCTGATTAGCAAATCTATCTTATGCTGCTGTGTTTGTGCTTCAGCCTCAATATATTCTGAAATCTGACTCTCGAGTTGTATATTTGAACTGGATGCATAATTATCTAAAGAAATTGGTACAGAATGTACAACTAGTCGTTTACGTTTTGAGGAAACCTTACTAAAAGACTCTGGCAAAAAATGATCTTCACAAAGATAGCGAGTATTATTATCTAAAGTTAAATTTAAATTCTTAAACCAGTTCTGGCGAACTTTAACATCAGAAGGAAAATGAAAAAATGCTTTATTTGAATAACCAACTTGCTGAATATTAGAATAATACTTATTTAAACAATTAGGAGCTGAACAAGAATACTTAACTATACCCGGGCCAGACATTTTTGTTTCAAATATTAGAAAAGGAATTGTTGAAATATGAAATTAGATACCTATTAATCGTTAAGGCTAAGAAAACAATGATAAACAAAGTCCTTAAATACTTAATATTAAATTAAAGTTAATACTTACTAATTACATCAAATCAGCACCGTTTGTTTCTTAACCTAAAAATAACTTACCTACCTATGTAACTTACATCAGCTTACATCATAAAATAAAAATAAGTTTTATTTTATCATCATATCTTGCCTTCCGCCATCACGTTTTTCATTTTTTACAAGGTTGTCAATCCCGTCTTTTAAAAATCTCAGCAATAGTATGGACATTGTATGGATGGTATGGTGCGCATGTAGATTGATAAAAAATTAAAATAAAATGAATTTGAAATAACTATCATCTCATGAAAGTTTACGGAAACCGGCAACATCGCTTTCATACTATTGCGATGGTGGCGCTAACTAATAGTATGCTGGGAACTACGCCGTGTTGACAGTGGCGGGCATTTAATAAATTCATCTTGTTTTATATTAATTTATCTATGATGCGTACCGGCAAGCCATGATACATCATACCCCCCCTCACATAACTCCTTACCTCTCTCCTGCGCAATGATACATCCAGCACTCACTTTGGTTATGGGACTAAAAAGAACCAATTAGAACGGGATACGTCACGACTGTGGGCGGGATCGATTGACAATTAACACGTAGCAGTTAGATTTTTTAACCTAACATTTTTGTTTGTTAGTTTGTGCCAGTTTTTGTTTTGGTTTTGCTCACGGCCAAATATTTACAGTAATAATCCTTCCTCCATGATTTACAGTTATAGTGTGTGTACATACAATCCATGTACAATCGTGGTTTTGATGTTTGCTTTTACCATAGTTGTTTACTGAAATAATGGATATCGCGCCACTACCCTCTTTGAATGATGAATTTAATGTAAGTACAACATTTTTGTACCTTGTTTCTCTAAGACGAAAATTAAGCCTTTCAAGTAAAAGTTCATATTTGTTTTCTTTTGTATAACTACTAATTAAATATTTTTGCTGAGAAAATTGGTACCTACATGTATGTTCATAAACATAAAGTACAAACAAACTGCTAGGATTTTTGTGTAATTAAATCTTTATTTTTCAGTCAGTTTTTCCACCTGGTTGGGGAACAACAATTATTGGTAAAAAAATAGTAGAGGGTGAAGATAAGTTCCCGAATGTAGAAACGCATTTTTTCATCAATTGCACCAATGAAGAGGAGTTTGGAAAGTGGTTGATGGAGTTTGAAAATTCAACAAGTTCATCATACGTTATCGCCTGTACAGACGTTGAGAATGGAGCTAAATTGAAACTGAAAAGAAGACTAAGGTAATAAAGGTTTTATTATTAATAAAACCTTTGGAAAACACAGATTTTACAGGTTACAAAAATTAGGTAGTAAATTAATGTAATAAATATCACATTTGTTTATGCTCTTATTTATAATGTAGGTTATATTATTTGTTACATGTAGGTTTATTACAGTTTATTATTATGTTACCTGGAAAATTTAATTTTAGGTGTCATCATTCTACACGGTGCACTAAAACCTACAACCCGTCCTTAAAAAACAAAACTAGAAACACCAATTGTCCTTCGAAAATAACTGTAAAGATACATGTTATTAGAAAAAAGTATAGGGGCAAGAAAGAAAATTTCCAACCCTTACAAGAGGCGCCTTGTGAGGTTAAACTTATTTTAACACACAACCATATGACCAATACTGCAGATTCTTTACGGTTTCGTAAAGTTTCTAAGAATGTAAGAGAAGAGTTACTAAGTCTTTATAAGAATGGCCATACAGCAGGAACAGCTTTGGAGATGATTAAATGTAACATTCAGCTTACCAGGGATGATTATGTGACAGCTTTGGCAGACCGTAATATATGTCCAACCTATAAATACTGTTATGATCTATATATGAAAGAGTTTAAAGAAAATTATGGACCTATGAAATTTGATACAGAGGCGAAAATGTTTTTAGAAAATAATCTTACACTGTACAATGCTGAAAAAAGAGAAACAATAACAAACATTCTAGAAATGTTTATGGTATGTTATAAACTTAATTAAATGGGTTTGGTTCGGTTTTGGTATTTTATTTGGTGGTTATAATATGTATTTTTTTATTTATCGTTTGTATGTTTAGAAATAATTTAACTTGACAGCAGATATTGTTGAAATTGTATTAGTTCAATTTAATGAACTAGGTATACTATAATGTAAACCTTCCTATTTAGATTTGTAAAATATACCACTAATTAATTATTTTTTGTGTCCCAATTCAATTTATAAATTGGCAACACAAATAATTGAAATTAAATTTGTATAGATTTCTTTAAGGATGTGCACAACTTTATTTTCTAAAGCTTTTGTTAAATTATTTCATTGACTAGAATTATAATCATTTTTAGGAAGTAGCCAAAATCGAAGAGGACGAAAAATTCCTATACAAAGTACTGCTGTAGCTAGAAGAAAAATTAAGAAAAAATCATCAAGACAACTAAAACGATTACGTAATAATACATATGATACAAGTAGATGCGTAATGCCTACTAAATAAAAAATGTTATTAGTTAAATAAACTATTTTTTTAAATTAAACTGCTTATTTTTAAAATTCCTAATGAAATATTTAAATTAAAAACCGTTTAGGTAATGTAGCTGTAGCATAAAAAGTAATTATCGTAACTGAGGAGTTGGCGGGAAAAACGATCAAATTCGGGGTGGATGGTGCCATCTAAAGATTTTTGTATATAATATATGCCTGGTAAACAGTTGCTGCAAAACGATTAAGATCTCTATAATACACCTAACAGTTATTTATGCAACTAGTGCGAAAAGCACTCTTTTCACACTGTTACATACAATATTTTTCGTAAAATAAATGATAGTAAAATTCTAAAACAAAAGTATTTTCCTTTACACCTTGTAGAAATACCGGCAGTTTTGTTGGAAATTTCCTGTCATAACCGCATCGAATTTTTGTTTTTAATTGTTTGAATTGTCAAGATGATCATTTGTTGGTAATTTTTAGGTGAATTTGTTCGTTGAGAGCTTATTAAACGTAATCAAACGCTTTTAAAATCTGATTTTTATTTTTAGAAAAATGCCTTTAAAAGTGTAGTAATTATTCATCTAATTTAGTTATGTCAAATATTAGTAATTGTGTAATTAATATTTATAATAAATTTTGTGTATTATTTGCACTTCCTATGAGACAACGCTCGGAAGTAAAAAAAAAACGATTTTCTCAGTTTCAGCATAGGCACACTTTCATCGTTTTCCTCGCCACCTCCCCAGTTACTTTCAAAACGAGCGCGCTTTTATGCCCCGCCTATAATTTGGCGTTCGCGCGCTGTTATTGGCTCTTCCACGTCTCATAGCGGAACTGTGGGCTCGATGTAGTATTGCCTCTCCTGCGTGTATGTTACTGGCAGGCCGGAAAGGCCAGTTCATAATTGATCCACCCTCGTACTTCACCGAATTTCATCAAGCAATCTAGTGTTTACGATCGTTGTTCACAGCCTTTTCTGTGATATCAGACTCTCAATTCTTGAATCTGAGCGAGTAGAAAGTTTGAGGAAATTACGAGACAAATACAAATTCTACATCTACTTTCGACATTATTTTCTATTCTTTTGAATTCAAGAATAGCGCTTTCCCCCTACAACTAATTCAAATATGGGTCTAACAGAATTAACCCACTGATGACCGATATTGCCCGGTTCTCTCTTACTAATGTACACTTACCCACTTCTAAAAATGGGATTTAACAAACAAAATTGGAGCTTATTTGAAATGCATATTTTTTTAAATACAATAAACACACAGCACTGCTTTGAAAATAAAAATGTGAACATCACGTACAATGTTTGCTCACGGCGGGCGGTGTTATTCGGAAAAGAATTGTAATTGATGCTGTCAACTTCAGGAATATTCATTTTCGGATACGCTTTGATTTTTAACTACGAAAACTGACTTTTTTAATATTGAATATTGTGTCAAACTAGAAATACACTTTTATGCAAATGGAAAAGGAGAAATGTGCGAAGAAAAATAAATTGAAAACTAAAAACAGTGTGTTACATGGGCGTGAACCGGATGAATATAAACATAGGACAATTAACCAAAGAAGAAATCGAGACTACAATCTTAGGGATCAAACTGATTAAAGCAGATATAAGAAATTTAAGTTATTTCATACATATCTAATTAACTTGGCGTATGCCGATTGAGCGCAACCATATTATACCCTATACAGGGTGTTATTGAAATACACGTACATATTAAAACTGGGTATTGCGCAGATCCCCACTGAATGTAGAAAAATATTATTTTTTAAAAATACCCCTTATTAAGGGAGTTATTAATTTTTGAAAATTAATTCTAAAACAAACGTACTTCACTGATATGTTGAGGATGACCTATATAAATTAGGTTTATTTACCTATTTTAAACATCAACAGTAATTAATATGCAAGTTTTTGTCAGATGATAAGAAAACTAGTCTTGTAAGAAATAACCATGTTGCCAAGATTTTCGAATTAATTTCTATTTCCGAAGACTGGTTTTTACTACCCTCGTTATCAAAAAACTAGAATATTTGATAAATGATTGTTTTTAAACTATACATTTTTGAAACTATAGATTATTAAAATTTTAGTTGATTTACGAATCTGGCTAACACGAGCGCGTCATTTCCAAGTTGGTAAAAAGTGTTGTTACGATTACTTTTAAATATTTTTTTACGATGCCACTATTTACGAATATTGAACTAACGGATATAGTGCTGGTTTATGGGGCAGCTGGCATAATAGATCAGTATTTAATCGGGCCTTATGTTCTCCCGAACAGATTAAATGGGCCAGGATATCTCCACTTTTTAGAAGATATTTTGCCAGTACTCCTAGAAGAGATACCGTTACAATTAAGGCAACGGATGTGGTACCTACTAGATGGCGCTCCTCCTCACTTTGATTTAAACGTACGGCAGTTTTTGAACATTAGATTTCCTCAAAAGTGGATAGGCAGAAATGGACCTACTAAGTGGCCTCCGAGATCTCCGGACTTAAATCCATGCGATTTCTTTTTGTGGGGTCACATGAAACAACTGGTTTATAATGAACCTGGTAATAGTGTTAAACAATTAACCAATAAAGTTAATGCGGTAGCCGAGGAACTACGACAAAATCCAAGACTAATTTCTAATGTTCAAAGTTCTTTGGAAAGACGATTGCAAGTGTGTGTAAATAATAATGGACGGCATTTTGAACAATTACTGTAATAAACTTTATTTTGAATTAATTGGTTTTGCTACGGCAACAGTGCAATTTCTATGGGTAAGTTCAATTTCGATTTATTTTACTTCTTTAAATATGGAAACTAGTAGGTCGGAAAAGGGGACTCTTCCCCAATATTTAAATTTTAGAATTTGAAGTTAAAATTGGTGCCAATCGTTTTTGGTCATTACATACTATTCCCCATTTTAATATGTACGTGTATTTCAATAACACCCTGTATATGGTGCAGAAATTTTACTTACAACTTTACATGCCGATTGGGCGCAACGGAAGGATTAAGATGATACCATTTCTTAAATGTGTAATATATTGATATGGTCTATTTGTATCTGGGTTTTTGATTATTTAATGTATTTTAAAGAATAAAGTTAATGATACAAACATCCATCTCATTTATTGAATATTTACCTTTATTTGTTATTGTTGTGCTCCGGCTATGACTTGTGTTATCTCAGGCGTCTTGGGTTCAAAGTAAGTACTATTTTATTGATTTAGGTCAATTTTTAAATTTTGTTAAGTTATTATATTTTATTCTATTTGGAATCCTGTTGGTTGATTAAAATATTCCCCTTTTACAAATAAACTATGTTTATTCCAAAATTGTT